TTGCACCGCCACCCTGGTGCCTTTAGGTTTATTGTGCACGACATGCAAAATGTAACCCTGCTTTGACTGATGCAAGCTCTACAGCACAGTTTATAGTAAGAAAGAATATAGTAAGAAAGAAAAGTAAGCTGTTACTCTGAGATGGTTTGGGAAACAAACATTCATCATGTCGCATTGGTTTTAGTTACTTGTCCTCGAACAGAGCCCTAATCTGTTTATATTTCAGTTACACATTCTACATTGATTAAAAAAGAAAAATCAAATGTGTTTTTAATTCATACAGAAATAAAATATTTATAATTCAGCTGAGAATAAAGTTAGTTCAAATTTTAAGAAAAACAAATATATGATCTGAAATATAGCACATTCATTTTTAAATTCATTCAGGTTCAATTACCAAAAATACAATCTTAATTTAATTTAAAGCAAATAATAAATCTAAAATATATGGGTTATATGCATATTTTGTAAAAAAAGAAAAAAAAAAGAAAGAAAGATATATATCCAAAAACACAAGGCCTTAAACTTTAACAAGGGTGCAACTCTTATCACTACAACAAACATAGTCACACACACAAGTCAAGTCACTTACATTTTAGATGCAATATTGACTTTTTAGATGCAATATTGACTTTTTTCTGTTTCAGCAGAGAAAATAGTTAAACAAAGATCACAGCGACCCATCGCGCATCTCAAAGCAATGTGTTTTCTCATTACTGAATGATTCAGCATTTTGAATCCATGACTCGTTCATTAAGACGGTCATCTGGCGACACCTTATGGTGATTTAGGGTTATGTTTAAAAGTATCGTTCTTTACAGCGATTTTTAATTGACTCCTGTTAAACCAATCTCGTAACATTATTGTGTAACCGATTTAATTTGATCAGCCTTACCTAGGGTAACAGCCCTATAGTGTCTTATTATTCTAAATTATTGAATTTATTGATCAAATTTACTAATGAAAAATGAAGCATACATTTATTAAGACTAGGCTGCCCTGCAGATATTAGGCTACAATATGCAGATTTAAATATACCATTTATCAAATAATCTGTTTATTTTTAGGTTACACATTACATTGTTTAAAAAATAAAAATCAAATGTGACCCGCTCTGGCGAAATGAGTCGGAAGTTGCAACCTTCCATTTTAAGATATGGGCCGATTATGTGGAAAAACCATGAAATAACAAAAAAAAAAAAAAAAAATTTTTTTTTGCTAATTTCAAAGAACAGACATTCAAAAATAATCTCACAGGGTTTCGTAGTCGAGATAATTGAGTAAAGGTATTTAAATAACGATTAAAGTTGTCAAAGCTTTAAATTCGCTGAAATAAACATTGCTCTTCTCAACTCCCCTCGTCACCTCTGAGCATTTCCCGGGTATCCCCTGAAACGTTGAACTCACTGGAGGCTTCTAACCTAAACTGCGTGAGTATATTTATCTGCAAGAAGAATATAGCCTATGTAAGGCTGTAACGATCGCGACACTCAGATCCACGAACCTGTGTCGCGGTGTGAGAAGACAGAATCACGACACCGACACGTCCCTTCAACTCCCGAAGTTATCCTTCACGTCCAGACCCAATGCTAGCTACAACATCTTTAAATTACTATTAGTATTATTTGAAGTTAACATTATAAAATACGTAGACTTACACCACAAAACTTAAATTATTACTAATTTTTTTTAAATTGGGCAATTTCAGCATTATGGAGGAGATCCAATTCCCAGATAATTAAATATTTTAATAAATTGGCCTATGTGAACCACACTGCACAAACCAAAAGTAATACTCACCCGATGAAGAAGGGTTGACTCTCTCCAGAACATAAAATCTTTATTTTATTTTCCGTGTTCGCATTTATGAGGAAAAACAATCCGAACGTGACCGTTCTCTGGAAGCAGCACTAAAACTTTCACATAGCTTAAACATGCAAGCACAAAGCCTTTCTTTAAAGTAAATTTCGTTTTAAAATAATTATCTTAATTTAAATCAATGTTTCATCAACCAATTACTAGGATTTAATAATAAGAAATAAATTGCAGACAATAGGCTAGGCCTAATCACGACGCGGAGACGCGCGGCACGTGAACTGAAGCTTGTCTCATGAACCGAAAGTCAGCGTATAAGGTATCCTCACAGACATATATATTGAAATGTCTACTTTTAAACACAACCATTCAAAATGAAAGAAAACAGACTGCTCTCTGCTTATGTGGGCTAATCCGTATGAAAACTGAATTTCTCTCTGACTCCTCTTTAATCTTTCTGATTTTAGAACATTTTTGTAAAAGTGACTTTTTAATTATTTATTTCAAAAAAATTAAAAATAAGTTGAGTTTCAGCCTCGTTAAATTGCATTTATATATGTTAATCTATTTGGTCAAATTAAGCTATATAAAATAAATAGTTTATCCCTTAAAATGCTATGGATTTTGAAAGATATCAAAAAAAAAAAAAAAAAAAAAAACGGGCAAAAAAACTTTAAAAGCGATTTTCTTAGGTTTTCAATTGGAAAAAAAAGGGCAGACGACCAGAATTCAAATCTGTATATCGTTACAACCATTCAAGGTATGACCAAGGTATCATTTGAAAGCTTACAGTGTCCTCTTTCCATTAATATCAAAATCTCAATTTTTAAATTTGGGTCACTGTGACTAATTT